AGGACTGCCTGAATCAAGAACTTGTGTCTCATCAAACGGTTTCTTTGTGTCATCCGATCCCCGAGCAGCCGACGAAGACGAGGATAAAGATGACGACTTCCGAGCTCCGCTCTATAAGAACGTGGAGATCAAAGGCATCCAAGTTCGGATGAAATGGTGCGCCACCTGCCACTTCTACCGCCCTCCGCGTTGCTCCCACTGCAGCGTTTGCGACAACTGCGTTGAGGTAAGGACACACATGACCTGCCGTTTAGGGACAGAGTTGTAACTTGCTGTAGAAATATAGCTAAACGCGATCCCTCGAGTATTGATTTTGTAGTAAAGGCAATATAATTGAACAGAGTTGGAAGGGACCTTGTAGGTTATCTAGTCCAACCCCCTGCCCAAGCAGGAGACCCTACACTATTTGTGACAGAAGGCAGTCCAGTCTCTTCTTGAAAGCTTCCAGTGATGAAGCTCCCACAACTTCCGAAGGCAACTTCTATTCCATTGATGGATTGTTCTCACTGTCAGAAAATTCCTCCTTATTTCCAGGTTGAATCTCTCCTTGATTATTTTCCATCCATTATTCCTTATCCGGCCTTCAGATGCCTTGGAAAATAGCTTGACCCCCTCATTCTCTCTGTGGCAGCCCCTCAAATATTGGAAAACTGCTATCCTGTCTCCCCTGGTCCTTCTCTTCACTAGCCATGCCCAATTTCTGCAACTGTTCATCATATGCTTTAGCCTCCAGTTCCTTCATCATCCTGGTTGCTGCGTTCTTTCTAGCGTAGCTGTTTAATGAGATACGTCAAACAGAACAGAACAGAATAAGAATTGGAAGGAAACTTGGATGTCTTCTAGTTCAACCCTCCACCCAAGCAGAAGACCCTACACCATTTCTGACAGAGGGCAGTCCAGTCTCTTCTTGAAAGCCTCCAGGGATGAAGCTCCCACAACTTCCGAAGGCAACTTCTGTTCCATTTGTTGATTGTTCTCACTGTCAGAAAATTCCTCCTTATTTCTAAGGTGAATCTCTCCTTGATCAGTTTCCATCCATTATTCCTTGTCTGGCCTTCAGGTGCTTTGGAAAACAGCTTGACCCCTTCCTCCTCTCTGTGGCAGCCCCTCAAATATTGGAAGACCGCTATCCTGTCTCCCCTGGTCCTTCTCTTCATTAGACTAACCATGCCCAGTTCCTGCAACCATCCATTGTATGTTTTAGCCTCCAGTCCCCTAATCGTCTTAGTTGCTCTTCTCTGCGTTTTTTTCTAGAGTCTCAACATCTTTTTATAGTCCAGTTTTTGGTATAGTGGATGTATCAGGGGAAAAAATGGTTGCAATCGCCTTGCAATTGGAGGTTGAAAAATTAACTTGCACGATCAGGACGTGTCCTGTTGCGATATTTTGGATTGAAAGTTCATATGACTGTAGACTAATAATCTAACACTCAAGTGAGAGGTCCTTGGTGTTCTCTGAGCTTGGTGGTTTTCTTGCAGACGTTTCATTACCCAACTAGGTAACATCATCTGTGCTAGGAGAGAGTGAGGTGTGCAGGGGGGAGGAGGAGGACAACTGTGGGGTCCTTGGCACTCTCTGAGCTTGGTGGTTTTCTTGAAGACCCTATTAGGTAACATCATCAGTGCTAGGAGGGAGTGGAGAAGGTGTTGGTGGTGATGATGGAGGAGGAGGAGGAGGAGGAGGAGGAGGAGGAGGAGGAGGAGGAGGAGGAGGAGGAGGAGGAGGAGGAAGCTGGGGAGGATTGTGAGGTCCTTGGTGTTTTATGAGCTTGGTTTTTTTTTCTTATAGACATTTCATTACCCAACTAGGTAACATCATCAGTGATAGCACTGATAGACATATAG